CTGAGGATCCCCAGAGGGAGAGTATCCTCACGAAGGGGACAGAAGACAAAAAATAAAATTAGAAAGTAGGACGTTATATTAACTCAAACGCGTACGGTCTTACGAACGAAACTCTATAGACCCGGTGTCCGATTTTTATTCGTTTCAATATTACATAGAAAAGAGGACGGCAGGGGACGGGACGAAGAAGGGACCGCAATTCAACGCGCAAATTAAGAATCAACTGCCAAAGTCCTAAAGCGACGTCGGGAGTGTTGTACGTATGAGCGTTTGTATGTGTGTATGTACGTATGTATGCGTGACGGCAAAGGCCACATGCTGATGGGATGGGCAGTGTTCAACATGGTATGAACGATCCATGTCCATACCGAAATCTGGACTGTACCTACACCTGTATTGCAGCCATATATTATACTTTACACATATACCAAAAACCCAACCCAAAACATTATCCCCAATCACAAAGCAGCAGCTGATAACATCCATTAGTCAGGCAATAACCTACAAAAACATAAACTATCTATTGAGCCTAGATGACGAGTACCTACTACTACTAAGACTACTGTGGCCTGATGGTGTTGGTTGAGGTGGTTGTGGGGGTTAGGATGGTTCGATAAGTGGGCGGTAGGACTATATCTGCTGTTTTGCCGGTGGTAGTGGTATTGCTGTTGATAAGTCGTTTTTTTCACCGTACTGGTGCCGTACGGGTGTTGTACGACATCACGTGCAGGAGTGGCGGCTGTACATCATTCAGGAGTATGCTGACGGCGGGCCGCTGAGGAAGTTGTACGGCAATAAGGCCCTGTGGCCGTCGCCTGGCGTGGTCAACTTGGTGAGAGAGAGAGAGAGAGTATTTGTGGGTTCCGTCGCCATCTGTCTGTCTGTCTGTCTGTCTGTCTGTCTGTCCATCATCAGTTGACGTGAGGGGTATTGCCAAAAAGAGAGCTTGACAACAGGAAGTCGTAAATCTCATCTCATCTCTCTTTCCCAACCCCCTCCTTAAGGTTTTAGGGTTTTTTAAAGATAGATTTTAAAACCCTAAATCCCCCTCCCTAGGACTCCCTTGGCAGTTTTGCACTTTGAACGCCGGCCCCTTTGGGGAAGAAGACGAAGGGGTTACCGAAGTTCTCATTCCTTGTTCCATTCCTTGGTTTTGATCCCCCTCCCCCTCGACCCCCAAACCCCCCAAACCTCCTTCCCCCCCCCCCCCCACACACAGTGTACAGTGAACAGTTCACAAGATAAGTGTTCGCGACTCAACGATACCGTTCACACACCCCGCTCCTATCCCTGCTCTACACCTCCAATCTGCCCTCGTTTTCCTCGTAGTCGCCCCAGTCTCTAAAATTCATTTCCACATCCCATGTTGTGCCTCCTGTGCCTCATGCACATCCCCTACTGCTGCTCGTACTGCTGCTGCTGCTGCTACTGTTGCTCTTACTGCTGCTGCCATTGATTTTGCTACTGCTGCTGCTACTACTGTTGCTGTTACTGCTGTGCTGATGCTTTTCCTTCCCTAGCCTGCGGTGGTTGGTCTAGCACTGGGCATCGCGAGGGCCTTATCTCACCTTCACTCCAAAAGAATCATCCACGGAGGTGAGTGAGGTGGGACGTATAGCGTGTATGTGTGTGTAGCATTCCACTGGATGCTACTGGTCGTGCTGGTGGTGGTGGTGTGGGGGGGGGGGCCCGCCGCGGATCCGAAAAAGTCACCACCGATGGTCGGCAAAAGTCGGCATGGGTGGTGAGGAGGATCCGGGAAGGTGCTGGGGACCGTAGTACGCCGCCGCACACTGAATAACATTGGCGGCCCTCCTCCCGCTTTTTCCCGCCTCCTTCCAACAGACCTAAACCCGAATAACGTGTTACTCAATCGGGACGTGAACGAGCCGTCCGGGTACATCGTCAAGGTTGGGGACTTTGGCCTGAGGTGGGGGTGGGGGTGGGGGGCGGTGGCTGTGGGGCCGGGGATGATGAAGAGGAGGAGGGGGAGGATGTTTTTTTTGTTTTTTTGTTCAATTTTGCATGATAATTTCTTATTAACTTTCTAGAGAGACAGTTACATCATTAAGGGAGCAGTCGTGGTAGCTATATACAAAAAGCTATCGCTCCGCTGTGTGGCAAAAGATTATGTCGGCCACTGGGGTCGATGCCTAGGCCCCCTTCCTGCCGGGCCTCTTCCGCCCCTTACTTCGCTTCGTCACTCGGAAGTCGCCGTCAACCCGAGACTTGTGTCTCATCGCGCGGACAGCAGCAGGGATGGTGGGTGCAAGCGAGGTGGTTATATCGTTTTAAATTCTTTTAAATTATCCTAATACAAGGAAGTTCACTTCCTTTGAATGAGGAGAAATAACACATGAAATATTAAATAAATAAAGGAAAGGGCTGAATAGAAGAGAAAAAATATTGCTTTGTTTTAATTTGGTGGTTTTGGTTATATTTTATATATAAATAAGCTTTTACAGCATTTCTATGTCTGGTTGCCCGCCCGCCCAAAACCCCCCTCCCACCCCCTTGCCTCTCCCCACCCCCCACTCACCACACCGCAGTGTAATGCTGCCTCAGAATCGAACCCACCTGAGCAACTTGCGCATGGGCACCATGTTTTACATGTGCCCTGCACTAGTCATGAAGGTACGACAGGGTACGACAACAGGACCATTTTTACAGACGCGGCAATCTCACAGTCAACTCTTCCATATTTATTATCAAAAAGTACATGTGCATGAAGGAATGCATGAATGCACGTATGATTGCATGCACGCACAGCACAGCACAGCACAACGACTGTCTGGAAGTATTATTACAGTTGAAGGGGTAATCTACGGGGTTGCTCGTCTTTACTTTTCCCTGCAGCTTGTGGCCTTGC